TCAAGTAAAATCCAGAGATACTTCTGCAAAACCTAGGCAGTGGTTAGATCTTTTTGCAAAACTCGAAAGAGGAAAAGCAATATATTTAACTTATTCTCCTAGAAAGAGACTTAATACTAAAAATGAAAATGCACTAATCTTTGAAATTTATAGCTTAGAAAACATTTCTACCTCTGATATCATTGAAGCTATGCAAAAGGATATTGGTAAAAACCTAATTGCAGTCAAACCAATAATTATTAAAAATATACATATATATCTAAAAGTTGTCTTTTCAGATGAAGAAAAACAACAGTATTACGCAACTGAAGGCCTCACAGTCTTTAAACAAAATATCCAAGGATACATTTCTATAAACATCAAATGCAACTTTTTGTTAGTAAGGCTTTGTAACACCCCAATGGAAAAAAAAGACTTTGTTTCAGAATGCATTAAGGAAGCCTTTCAAGATATTGGCACCATTTTATCTATCAAGCCACTGGTCCACAAAGGCATCTCAGTCCTCTCAGATCAATGGGTTGTAATCTTTGAAACAACAGAAGACCCAGACATGGCTTCTAGAATTCCTAGATATACACATGTTTGGGATTAAAAGGTAGCAACAGATTGGAAAAAAGCTCCAAAGTTATATTACTTTTGTGATAAAACCATATGTTCTGCAGCTTTTTCATCTATGTTATCACTTTTGTATATTTTTTGATAGGTCTCTTTAATGTAGTTTATAGTATGCTTTTGTGAAATTCTAGTTGGGTTGTTTGGGTCTTTGACCTTAGTACAGCAACTAGTTAAATGCTTGGACTTGTATAATGAATAAAAGTATTTAGTTGAATTTTTTCTCTCTTCAACCTATTTTGCATTGGACCTTACATGCCATTTGTCTAGCATTATGGCTAACTCTCTCTGAAGTTCAATTTTAAGACCTTCTATAACAAGATTAGCTTTTTTAAATTGGGGTTTTTTGCTATTTTGTTGTTTAGGCTGCAGATTCTTCTGTGAATTTTTTGTATTCTTTTTTCTAATAAGGGTCAAGGTTTGTGCAGATCCCAGTTTTAAGTATTTTGGATATTGTGTATTTCTTGAATTATATTTAATTTAAGTTCAGGAATGTTTCAGACTTTTCTGTCAAATCTCCATGTTGAATTGCTGTTATGTTTAGGCTTTAAGCTGAGCCTGCATTTAACAAGGAGGTGGTCAGAGTTTCCAAAATGTGTTGAGGCCTCTTTACAAAGATAGTTATAGTTCTCTTCGATATAAATATAGTCAAGTCTGGTTGCCATTCTTTGACCTCCTTGTGTTGTCTAGTAAAAAGTAAGAAAAGGTTCTTTTTTAGAGCAAATTGCTGTGTTGACATAGTTGGTTAAGAAATTTTCTATAAGCTTCTTGAGCTGTCATGTTGTGTAGCTGCTTGGCTTATCCTGTTTGTTTCTGGGTCTAGGTTGGTATTAAAGTCTCCTCCTATGATATAAATGCTTTCATCATCTTTGGTTAGAGTCCACTTCTTAAAAAAAAAGATTCTGTCTTCTAGTTTTGGAGGTGCATAGATGTTTGTAAAATGGAAATGCTGCTGTTTAATTTCTGCTTTGGCTATAGTTATTTGTCCATCCAAAGCTTCTTTCATGTTTGTTAATTTAATGTTTCTTTTTCCAGCTAGTATTACTGTTTTTGAGAACCAGAAAGAGTCAAAGCCCCATTGTTTAGCTAGGAAGTTTCTTAGAGAAGCATTTTTTAAGTTGGTTTCTTGTATTAATATAATGTCTAAATTAAAATTTTAGTAAAGTTAAAGTTTTTTAAGCTTTGAACTTGTTATTTAAGTCTTAACATTTAGTGTAGCAATTTTGATCATTGATTAAAGTGTATAGAGAGAAAGGCTACACTGAACTTGGTAGTTTGTGTTAAACTCTTGGTAGACAGCTCTGGAAGGAGCCTTCTTCATTTTTGTAAGAGTGACTTGTTTTTGTTTGGCCCTTTTTCTTATTATTTGTTTTTTGTTTTTTGTAGATTACTGTAGTAAATAGTGCCTCTTCTGAGTTACTTTCAGAGTTGTTGAAAGCTACTGCCATTTCAGCATCTACTTCTTCAACTTCTATACTATCAGTACTTCTATATTTGTTGTACTATTTATAATTGTTGCATTTTCATCACTTGTTATTTCTGAGACAGCATCTGTTGCAGTTGAACTTTTGTATTAGTTAGTTTATCAGTTTGTTCTTTTTCTTGTAAAATGTTAATGTATAGGTTATCTTGGCTGAAGCTAGTTTCTAACACCAAAAGGCTTTAAGCTTTCTTTTTTTCTCTAAGTTCTTTAGCTTCTTTTAGTTGTCATCTTGTTTTAATTGAGGTTTTGAGCTCCTTACAGTCTCTTTTAAAGTAATCTTCTTTTTCACAATAAAAGCAGATTTTGGGTGCTTCCTTCTACTTAGTTGTTATTTTATGATTGCCAATGTGAGTACTTCTGGGTATTTTGGAAGGTAAATCAGGATCTTCTGTAGTTTCAAATATCATCAGCCATTGGTCAAAGCAGACAGTAGTGCCCTCAAACATTAAAAGTTTTATTGATGCAATTTGACTAACATATTGGAAGGCATCAAGAACCTGGTTGCTGATTTTTTTAGTGTCCTTCATAGGCATGTTTCGAAGTTTAACTGTTAAAAAGAAGCAGTTAAGATTGATTGGAATATATCCAAAAAGCATTTGCTTAAACAATGGAATTCCATTTGCTGCATAGAGCTGAACTTTTTCATTGTTCTTGAAAACTACTTCAAGAGAAGATCATTTTTCTTTAGACATATGGATTTTTGCAACCATTAGCTCTTCTCCTAAGCTGGCTGCTAATGCTGTAATTATGTCATTAGTAGGGAGGTTGCTTAGACTTTGGATGTTTAAAATGAGAGTGTTTTGATTTTTAGAGCATATTCTTTGGCTGAAAGAGGAACTGCTTTTCTTCCTTTGAGTCTTGTAAATAACTCAGACCATTGTTTTGGCCTTGTGTTACTATATGATGAATTCTTGTTGTCAGACTCTTTAGAAGTTGTCTGATGGCTGTTGTCATTCTTGTGTTCTGTACTTGCATTAGCATTTATGTGTTCTTGTTTATTAATTCCAGACATATTCTTTGAATTGTTTACTTTCTGCATATGTTTTTGACTTGGTGTTTCTTTTTCTTTTTGTTTGTTGTTACCAGTTATGTGAATATTTCTTCTTTATTTTCTTCTCTAGCTTTTGAATCAGCTTCGACTTGACTAGTCCAGTCTAAACTAGGCTTTTTTGTTGCTGTGTTTGCTACTGTCTATGTCTCATATTTGCTGTTCACAACCTTACTAATTTTTGGGACTGTAAAGTTCTCATTGTTCTTTTCAGTTTTTACAAGCTTAAAGACTTAGTCTTTACCAGTATCTGCTTTTACTTTTTTTGTATAGAAGCTTGCTCATAGCTGTCAACAGTAGTTTATGCTTTTTGGGAGTTATATATCTCTCTTTGCTTAAGTTTGTAAAGTGAACTGTTTCATTTTGCTGTAAAATTTTGTATTTCTATAAGTTCTGAAGATAAACTGGAAAGAGTTTTTTTTTAGTCTTGAATTTTGGTAAATGAGATGTTTTGATTGCCTGCCAGTATTGCAGTTTTTGATGTCCAGTAGGAGCAATAGTCTCACTGTTGTTGCAAAAAATTTCTGGTATTAAAGTTCTCTAAATTTGTTTTTTGAAGCATAATTATATCTAAATAATATGATTTTAGTAGTGTTGATGTACTGTGTGCCTTATGTTTAAAGTTGCAATTCTAATTTTTTTAATTATAATAATTGTTATAAGAAGAAAGAATGATTTAATAGTGATTTCTTCTGATCCTATGGCTGTTCTTGAGCCTATTGCTGTTTTCTTGTAGGTCTATAACCTTTGGATTTGCATTTGCCTTGAAGGTTTGTGGATTGACTTGAGGTACTGCTATATGTAGTAGCCAAAGGGTCTGATAAAGTCTTTATTTTGGGGATAAGACTATTGCTTCAGCTGTAGTTACTTTCAAAATATGGTTTTCAACAGGCAGCATCTGCAAGTGTAGTTCTACTTCCTTAGACTATGAAGATTCTATTTTAGATTCTTTATTTAGTTCTAAATTAGTGGTTCCTTTTTCTTCTGTTGAAGCAGATGTTTATTTTTGTTTTTTTTTGCATTTTGAGATTTTTGTGAAGATTTCTAATTTTTACTAATGTTTTGTATTCTGGATATTCTTTTTTTGATGTGTCCTTTTTATCACAAAGTAACATAACTTTGAAGCTTCTCTCTAGTCAGTTGTTACTTTTTGATCACAGATATGTGTATATCTAAGAATACTAAATACCAAGTCTGGGTTTTCTGTTGTTTCAAAAATTACAGCCCACTGATCTGAGAGGACTGAGATGCCTTTATGGACAAGTAGCTTGATAGATGAGATGTTACCAATATCTTGAAAGGCTTCTTTAATGCATTCTGAAATGAAGTTCTTTTTTTTTCATTGGGATATTACGAAGTCTTACTGATAAAAAGTTATGTCTAATGTTTATAGAAATGTATTCTTGGATATTTTGTTTAAAGACTGTGAGGCCTTTAGTTGCATAATACTGTTGTTTTTCTTCATTTGAAAAGACAACTTCCAGATGTGTGTGTCTATTTTTGATAATTATTGGTTTGACTGCAATTAGGTCTTTACCAATATTGGATGTAAAAATATTTTCTAAGCTATAGATTTCAAAGATTAGTGCATTTTCATTTTTAGTATAAAGAAGGCTATAAAAAAGATCTACATACACTCTTTCCAGACTACACACATTTGAAAGCAGAGTGAAACTATATAGGAAAATAAACCACAACAGCAAGACAAACAAACTTAAAAAAGATTTCAAAGCAAGGGCACTTGCCCTTGTTACAAGAAAAAGATCTTTTAAAGCTTTTAATAGTACAAAAAGCTTTGGCACTATGGCAAAAAAATGAAAAACAACAACAAATACTAATAAAGAAAATATCAAAAACATGAAGCCTATACAAGTAGAAGTAGAAGACAATAACTCAGGTTCACTAGAACATGTCAACAAAAACAACCCTAGCTGAGATGAACAAGTAGCTCAAGAAACCAAAGAACTCAAGGAAATAACAAATACACATAAGGAAGAACTTAAAAAAAATAAAACATACATGACAAAAGAAAATATCTCATTGATAAAAAAAAGTGACAACAACATAAAAACAAGACAACAATACTTTTACACATAATGAAGAGGTTATTAAAGACAACACACTTAATGAAGAGGTTCTTGAAATTAGTACATGTAATGAAGATAACAACAAAACAACAACATATGACAAAGAGGTTTCTGAGACTAGTACAGGTAACAAAGACAACATGGAAACAACAACTCAAGATGAGTCAATGAATGAACAAGGAGACTTTACTTCAGAAACAAATACAACTTCTAGCTCCAGCAGAATGACTGAACCATTAACAAAAAAATAGTCAAGTTTCTTTCCTAAACTTAAAAGAGACCAGTCAACTTACTCATCTTTTTCTTCTAGGAATACAATTAAATCAAAAAATAAAAATGCTCTTATCATAGATATACAAAGTCTACAATGCTCTTTTAACAAAATTATGTCATCATTATTCAAAACTGCTAAAAATGACATCATCACAGCTAAACAACATCTTACTAAAGAAACATGATCACATCTAGAAATCATCTTCACAGATAAAGAAAACCAAAAATCTATGCAACAAAAGGTGTTAAAATTTTTAACAGAACATATTTTGAATATGTTTCATTGGATATGAGGAAATCATTCTTATCAGTCAAAATCAGAAATGTCCTACTAGGCAACAAAGAAGGACTGTCAGACTCAATCAAAGATGCTTTTAAGAATATAGGTAAAATAGCATCAATTAAACCCCTGTTAATTGAAGGTACACCATACCTAACAGATCAGTAGATCATAAATTTTGAGACTACAGAGGATCCATTTTTAGAAGGTAAAATACCAAGGTTTATTCATATTTGGGATAACAAGGCCACAACAGAATGAAAGGTAGCAGCAAAAGTATGCTACTTCTGCAAAAAAGAAGGGCATATTAAAAAGAAATATCAGCTATTTCAGAAGTCAGTAGCCCTCCACCAACAATATCAAGACTTCAAAAAAAGAATTAGATTATACAGCAAAGATAATTTCACAAATATCAGACCAGAACAAGAATCTTATGCAGCTAATCCTGCTAACAAAGAAGAAAACCCATACTTGCAAGATGATATACCTACTAGTGACAGTGTGAGCTTACAAGAAAATAATTTAACACAAGAAGATTAAAATGGGCCTTTGTCACTTTCAATGAAAATAGACAACAATAAAAGAAACTCTATACTAAGTAAAGATAAGGATCTTTCACCTAACCCAGTACTAGCATCTCATAATGAACTAACTGCACTGTATCTTAATACAGAATTATAGGCAAAAAACAAAAACACAAATGAAACACTACCTATAATGGAAGTTGACATTGAAAAGGCCCCTATGCTATTTCATAAAAAAGACAAAAATAAAAAAGAAAAGAGCTTACAGAATAAGAACCAATTAAGGCCTAGCATATACAGAAAACAATGCAATGAGAGACTGCTCTCACAGACCTAATTGGGTCATAATTTTCTATACATTTACATGCCTTCAAAATTCAAACTTAAAATTACAACTTTGAATGTAAAAGGACTAAATGATCAAGGCAAACAACAAAAAACATTAACACTCTTAAAATCCTACAATTTAGATTTAATAATGATACAAGAAACTAATCTCAACAATGAAAACACTAAGAACTTTTTAAAATACCAATGGATATATGACTCATTCTGGTCAGACAAAGTGGCAATTTTGGCTGAAAACAGAAATATTACCTTTAAAAATATGAAAATACACCAAGATGGATAAGTTATTACAGCATCATTTATCTACAAAGGTCTCTTATTTCATATTACTAATGTGTATGCACCTTCTAACACTAGCAACAGAGTAATATTTTTTGATAACTGGACTTCTCAAATAAAAAAAAATGCAATAAACATTATAGCAGGAGACTTTAATGTAAATCTAAAACCTGAAGCAAACAGAATAAGTCAAGCAGTACCTTAGCCAGACCCATTTAGGAACTAACTGTTGAAATTAACAAAAAATCTTTTAAACACTGCAGAAATCACAGGCTCTAAGCCCTTTCTTACATTTCACTAAAAAAAACAAAATAGTAATATGATGGCAACATGTTTAGACTATATATTTATTGATGAAAATCAATCATATTTAGTCTTTAAGGTTACCACACATTTTGGAAACTCTGACCATCTTCTATTTAGTTGCTCACTCAACTTCAACTGGAAACAAAAACAACCATCCAGCTGATAATTTGATAAAACCATGTTTAATAATGAAAAACTTAAAAAAGAGGTCTTTAAGGAAATCAGTAAATCAAATACAACAGAAGACTGGGATCTTTGCAAGGTCTACATACAATTAATTATAAGAGCATTTAGAAAGCCAAGAACAACAGAAAGCAAAATCTCAAAGCTTAACAATGAAATAACAAAGTTAAGTGAAAAAATAGCTGGTTCATCAAACTCAGAAAGCTTGTCTTTATCTCTAGATGAGCTTAATGTACAGCTACAAAAGGAGTTAACATCTTTGTCAAAAAAATGGCACATCTGGTCCAAAGTGCAATGGATAGAACAAGGTAAAAAATCAATGAAATATTTTTTTGCAAAATATAAACAAAGAAAATCCCTTGCAGCCCACTCAAAAAATAAAATTCCAAATAGTAATTATTATAATAGTAAGGACATAAAACTCTCTCTCTCTCCATCTACATTTGGTAATGAAGAAAAAATTAACAAAAACTATTAAACCTTTATTGAAAAATTTACTAAAAACAACACAAGGGCTAAAACCCTTGTGCCCAGGAAAAGAAAACAAGCTTGTTTAACTATGTCTAGTTCAGTGTCAACAAGTTACAAAAATAAAAAAAAACCAAAATTGCAAGCCTTAAAAAAAAGTCTAGTCTTGGCTTTAATGATATAAGCAAAAAAATAAAACAAGAAGAAAACAACAGGTCCAATAGTCTTATTACTGAGAAAAAACAGAAAAAAGAAAATATGCCAGAGGTTGCTATAGAAACTTCTAAAGGCCAAAAGAGTAAAACAGCAGAACTTGAAGAAGAAGACTTGTCTTCAATCGCTTCTTTGAGCAATAAAGATCAGATTTCAGATGAACAAACAAAACAAACAACACGTGAGGAGCCTACATCTAATCACGTAAACAACCAATCAGAGCCTAGGATAAACAAACCAAACCGAAACAGTGATCTAATCTTTTCTCAAAATTGGAAAGAGGAAAAGCCACATACTCTACCTATTCTCCATGAAAAAGAATTGTTACCAAAAATGAAAATGCACTAATCTTTGAATTATTTAGTTTAGAAAACATTTCTACTACAAGAATCATAGAAGCTTTGGAACAAGAAATGGGAGAAGATCTGGTTGCAGCCTGGCCAGTGATTAACAAAAACAAAAGAACCCATTTAGAGGTTGTGTTTTCAGATGAAAACAAACAACAGCAATATGCAGCTGAAGGTGTTAGTATCTTTAAACAGACCTTACAAGGGTATATTCCTATAAACATCAGATGCAACTTCCTATCAGTCAGAATTCGAAATGCACCAATGGGAAAGAAGGAATTTATTTCAGAGCAGATTAGAGA